AGCGGCGAAGCTAGAGAGTTTTTTTGGCGCGCTAGGGGGCTTGTTGGCAAAACAAAGATCCACGAATGTTTTGTCTGTGTTGACATATTTGAATATTTTTTTCCGAAATTGGAACATTCGTTCGAGCTCTAGAATTTTTCTCCCCATATTCGATCTTCTTCCTGCTCTCCATCTTAATCTCAGCTCGATCGGGTACATTTAACTGCCAAAAAGCATGTGGGCGGGATCGGCTGTTCAGTGTCATCTTGGCAGGTGCTGTCGGTTTTCTGAACTTACCTCGAGCTGCAGATGAGCTACAGAGATTTTCGGCACAGCAATCGACAGGGAATCATCAGAAGCGCTAGTCTCAAGTATCTAGGTGCCCGAACTCGGTCTGCTACCAGAGCTGGGCCCGAAAAACTATTCCTGCTCTGCTATAACTTTTCAGAGATGATGATGCCTTTCTTGATGTAACTCGAGCTGTGCAGACTAGCTACAGAGCTGTTTGGCACATCAATCGAAAGAAAACCATCAGGAGCGCTCGTCTCAAGTATCTAAATGCCTGAACTCGGTCTGCTACCCGAGCTGGGTCCGTTAAACTGTTCGTACTCCTGTTAATTCGTTCAGAGATGATGATGAATTTCTTGATGTATCTCGAGCTACCTTTGAGATGAGCTACAGGGCTGTTTGGCACAGCAATCGAAAGAACACCATCAGGAGCGCTAGACCCAAGTATCTAGCCTGAACTCGGTCTGCTACCAGAGTTGTAATCAAACAACTATTCGTGCTCTGCTGATTTTTCTGAGATCATGATGATGCCTTTCTTGATGTAACTCGAGCTGCATATGAGTTTCAGTGCTGTTTGGCACAGCAATCGGAAGAGGATCATCTGGAGTGCTCCTTTCAAGTATCTAGATGCCCGAACTCGGTCGGCTACCAAAGCTGGCACCAAAACAGCCAATCGTACTCTGCTAATTTTGAAAGAGATCATGATCGTTTTCTCTACTCCGTTTGAGCTGTAGGCTGTCTAAGAAGCTTAGCAGCACTTCTCGAAGCAGAAGGTCACCAGGTACATTCGCCAACGATATCGAGACGTCTGAATTCGGCCTGTAAGCGCAGCTACGACAGTTGTAGGCAATAATGAGCGTTTCCTGAACTCATTTCGAGCTCTAGGCCAGCTACGGAGCTGAGATGCACGCCACTCGAGAGGGAATGCTGCGAAGCATCAATCAGTCTACAGTCTAGACGCCAGAGACTGGTCTGCTACCAGAGCTGTATCTCTCAAAAATATGTGACACGGTGTTGGATTTCTGTGCTTCAACCGTCTGAGATTGGTCTGCCACCAGAGCTACAATTCAGCACAATATTTGGTAGGGGATGATCTATACATATATCACATTTATATATACATATATGTATATGTATATATTGATCTCCTGTACTAAATTCATAGGCTGCTTCTCCTCCTCCTCCTTCCCTTCTTTCTTTCCTCTCCTCTTCTTCTCCTCCTTCGCCCCTCCTCGCTATCCCCCTCCACATCCTCTCCTCCTACCCCTCCTCTCCTCCTCCTCACTCCTTCTTCCCCTCCTCCTCTGCTCCTCTCCTCCTGCCCCTGCTCCTCCTGCCCCTCCTCTCCTTCTCCTCCTTGCTCTTTCTTCTCCTTCGCGTCCTCCCCATGAAACCGCGCCCTCGCGCGCGCGGAATGCGAGATTGCCGCGCCCGCATCCCATTCATGTATATCGCAAGGAAGCTCTACGAGTTCCCGGCGGTAGCCAAGGTTGACGGTTTACCGCCGGCTCCCAGTATCTATATGCCCGAACTCGGTCTGCTACCAGAGCTGGGTCCGTTAAACTATTCGTACTCTGCGTTTTTTTCAGAGATTCTGATGAGTTTCTTGATGTATCTCGAGCTACAGATGAGCTACAGGGCTGTTTGGCACAGCAATTGAAAGAACACCATCGGGAGCGCTAGTCCCAAGTATCTAGCCTGAACTCGGTCTGCTACCAGAGTTGTAATCAAACAACTATTCGTACTCTGCTGATTTTTCTGAGATGATGATGCCTTTCTTGGTGCCACTCGAGCTGCAGATGAGCTACAGAGCTGTTTGGCACAGCAATCGGAAGAGCATCATCCGGAGCGCTCGTCTCAAGTATCTAGATGCCCGAAATCGGTCGGCTACCAGAGCTGGAACCAAAACAACCAATCGTATTTTGCTAATTTTTTGAGGAGATTATGCTCGCATTCTTTATCTCATTTGAGCTGTAGGCTGGCTAAGAAGCTGGGGGGCACTTCTCGAAGCAGAAGGTCATCAGGTACATTCGCCGACGATTTCGAGACGTTAACGACTGGACAAATTCTTCGCGCTGTAGATCTTTTAACCAGCGCCGACGCGTGTTTCCTGAATATAATTCGAGCTCTAGGCGCTACGGAGGTGAGATGCATGCCAATCGACAGGGAATGCTGCGAAGCATCAATCAGTCTACAGTCTAGACGCCAGAGACTGGTCTGCTACCGGAGCTGCATCTTTCAGAAATATGTGAGACGGCGTTGGATTTCTGTATTCAAGTTATAGGCAAACTAGGGAGCTGGAAAGGACACCGCTCAACAGGGGATGATCTGACCGTCGCACATAGTATCGAGACGTCTGAGATTGGTCTGCCACCAGAGCTGCAATTGAGCACTCTGCAACATTTGGTAATATATATTATATAGATATACATATATATGTATATAGATATGTATATATTTCCTGTGCTAAAGTCATAGGCTGCTCCTCTTCTTTCCCTTCTTTCTTTCTTCTCCTCCTCCTTCTCCTCCCCCGCCCTCGCGCGCGCGGAATGCGAGATTGCCGCGCCCGCATCCCATTCATGTGCGTCGCAAGGAAGCTCTACGAGTTCCCGGCGGTAGCCAAGGTTGACTGTTTACCCCCGGCTCCCAGTTTTGCGAGTTCTCAAGCTGACATTCGAGAAGGCTCCCCCCTTGTTATCTGGTCACTGGCTTGGTGTGTTGAGAGCTCTGCGAGGGTTCTGGCGGTAACCTGGTTGACGTTGCGTGATTGCGTGACGGGGCCCTTGTTAGTGGGGCCACACTGGCGGGATGTCTGGAGTCGCGTCCGCGGCGGTTTCGCCGTTGCGATTCTGGTTTTCAGTATCCCATCAAAACACTCGGACTTGTTTGAAGTGCCATTCTTCCGTTTGGCTTGTTACTTGATGCCGCAAAGTAGGTGACTCGTTGCTTTGATCGACGGTGCAGTTGCCTCAAGGCAGGTTGCTTGTATGAGATCGTCGTTTTTCATTGCTCACTGGGGCCTGCTCGCTGCCCCATGAGGGCCTGCATAGCGAGACCGCAAACCGGAAAAAAAACCTGGTTGACGGCTTACCGCCGGCTTCAGTTGGCCCGCCCGGCCCGGGCGGATAATGTGACGAGCTGGCATGACTCGCGCCCGCGATATAAGATGAGCGACGGGCGTCGGACGCGACGCACTTGCTTCTTATGTTGTGGGAGGGCCTGTGGGTGTGGACGGAGCCCTCTGGCTCGTTCGAGCTGGCTAACTTGACGCCCTCCCCCCCCTCCCCTATCCTTACTTCCTATGATTAAGCACCTCCATATCCATCTAGCCGGCCGATGGCGACCCCGCCGTCCTAAAAAACACCGCAATGTCTACGTTTGTCTTGCCGGCGTGTGCTTTCTCCTCGTCGGCGTGGCGAATCGCGTAGCGGGAATGGGATGCCCCGCGAATTCCCAAGAGGCATTTTCCTCTTCCTCAGTTTCTCCCTCCCTCCCTCTCTCTGTCCCCTTCTCCTCCTCGTCTTCCTCCTCCTCCTCTTCCTCCTTCCCCTCCTCCTCCTCCTCCTCCTCCTCCTCCTCCTTCTCGTCCTCCTCCTCTTCCTCCCCTTCCTCCATTTGCGGCAGCAGCGAAACGATTGGCGGTACAACGCGCGTGGCTGGAATGAGACGCGGCTCACTTCGAGCGCTGGACATGTTGTTGCCGACGATGCAACATGAGAGGCTGGAACTGCGCGTGGCGTACATCGCGCGCGGTCTTGTTTCTCGTCGACGTTGGTCAATACGGTGCAGGAAAAGCACGCAGTTCATGTCGGGTGCTGAACGTGTAGCCGCCGACGATATAAGATGAGCGACAGGCGTCGGACGCGACGCACTTGCTTCTTATGTTGTGGGAGGGCGGGTGGGAGTGGACGGAGCATTCTGGCTCGTTCGAGCTGGCTAACTTTTCAGTCCCCCTACCCCCCCCAGACCGCCCACCCCCACTGGGGAAGGGATCAAACGAAAGGAGCTTTCTTTCGACTCGACTGCGACACTGCTAACTCTCCTCTCGTTGACAGGCTTGATTGAGGAGGAGAGGGGAGGGGAAGACGACGACGGAGACGACGATTGACGCAGACGACGAATCGAACAGACGAGTCCCCCACACACGCCAGCAAGATCGGCGGATTTCTGGCGGTCTGGGGCCCGCAGTGGGCCTTCAGAGGCCGATGTTGCGAAACAGCTGCGCCATGGCAACGAAATCGCAACGAGCGAAGACAACGTGAATATTTGTGTGGTTCCATGCAGCGACAGCTCGGACCTTTGCCCTCGTGCTGGGCGAAGGTAGGTTGCGCTGTTCAACAAGGCCGATAGTAACATATCTATTTTCCGAACGACGACGACAGCGGCGTTGGCGACGACGACGACAACGCGTTTCCGGGCTCTCCTGGGAGCGCTTTCCTGGGAACATTGTGATGGGAGTGCAGCCGCGGCGACGAGGAGCTTGAAGCTTCGCCGTCTTCCCAAGAAGGACCAACATCGCAGCCAAGAGGCGTCGCATTTTTAGCCGCGACCCTCGATCTCCGATCCTCGACTCTGGACGAGGACTTACCGACGACCGACGACCCACGGCGACCTGCCTCACCAGGGCGCCTTGTCGAACGTCGGACCTCGTCGACGACGGCGACGCCGCAGCCGCCGACGGCGACGACGACGACGACGACGACGACCGATGGCCGACGGCCACCTTCTGCGTCAGCAGGCCCTGCCGCCCGCGGCCCTCCCCCGTTGGCCCGGCAGAGGGGCGCACAGCGGTAGGGCGGGCAGCAGGACTTGCTGCCTGCGTCCTTGTTGCCGTCGTGGCTCGGGGTCTCTCTTCGGCGACTGCACAGGGTGTGGTTACGCCGGGGTGTGGTTTGCGATCAGCACCGTTGGGGCCTGGGGGGCACGACGCTGTCCTCGTCGGGCCTACTCGGGGCGCGGGAAAGCTCTATCCAGGTCCCCGTGTGCCCCCAAAGGTGCCCCCCAGGATGTTCCCCAGGGTGCCGGTCGCAAACCACACCCCTTGCACACCACACCCATTTGAGTCGCCGATCTCTGGCGGCGCGCACAAGCACGTGGCGGGAAGGGGGCGTCCTTCTATCGTGGAAACTCAAAGTTCGAGTTTGCCATACCTCGGGTCTCCGCGCGCTCTTTGACGTGCCCACCGATTTTGACGGTCCAGGTTCTGTGAGATGTTTGCAGCGGGAGCTTGCGTCACCTGTCCGACTGCGTCTCGCCATTTTTCTGACGGCCCTGTCAGGCCAACGCGTGTCCTCCGAAACGCTCGAGTCTTACGGTTTCCCGAGTTTGAGAAGCCAGGAGGGCTTCATAGAAGGCCACCTCCTTCGCGCCACCCCCGCATGGGCGCCAGAAAGTTCGAGGGTGCAAGATCGAGGATCGAGGTGTTTGGATATTTTAGGTTTCTTTGTGTCCTGGAGTGCCCTCGTGGCTTCGGCTGTATCCTTCTCGAAGTTCTTGGCAAATCGTACCCTTGGAGAGGCCCTGGGGAGGATCTTTCCCAAGAACTCTGGTGGTGGTGGTCGTCGTCGTCATCGCTGATCCTGCGTGGAGGTTTCTCTTTTTTGTGGGGGGGACCCAGAGGCTCTTGTTGGTCCTGTGGACCATCATGAGTCGATGTAATATGACAACTAGCTAGGATGGGCCCCAGGAGTGGTCCAGGGGCCGTTTTTGAACGGATTTCGGAATCCTTCGTCGTCGTCGTCGCCACCGTTGTCGTCTTTGTCCTTGTCTTTGTCTTTGTCGTTGTCTTTGTCGTCGTCGTTGTCGTCTTCGTCGTCGTCGTCGTGGTCTTTACCGTCGTAGTTTTTTTCGTCGTCGTCGTCTTCGTCGTCGTCGTCGCCGCCGCCGCCTTCGTTGTCGTCGTCGTCGTCGCTGTCGTCGTTGTCGAAGTCGTCGTCGTCGTCGTCGTCGTCGTCGTCGTCGTCGTCGTCGTCGTCGTCGTCGTCGTCGTCGTCTTTCGGAGATTCAAGGGTTCAGATTTTTTGGACGTGTTCGATGTTTTTTTGTGTCCAGGAGGCTTTTTGTCGTATTGGCTGGACGGACCTGAAGATTATGGCATCACCGCTCCCTGAGGATGTCTAGGGGTTCCTAGACATTCTCGTCGTCGCCGAGAGGGGATGAGGGAGGGCATGGATGGAGGAGGAAGAGGAGGAGGACTAGGAGGAGTGGGAGGAGGTGGAGGAGGAGGAGGAGGAGCAGGAGAAGAAGAAGGAGTGGGAGATCGAGGAGTGGGAGGAGGACGATGATGAGGAAGGGGATGAAGGAGAGGAGAAGTGGGGAATGAGAGGAGGGATGAGGAGGATGAAGAAGACTCCTCTTTGCTTCTGCGGGAAATGGTGGGAGGAGGCTGAGAGTCCCCATGCGGGATGGGGAAGAGGAAGGATGATGATGATGACGATGCTGTTGCTGATGATGCTGATGATGATGATGCTGCTGCTGCTGCTGATTATGATACTGATGATGCTGCTAATGATGATGACGACGCTAATGATGCTGATGCTGATGATGATGCTGATGATGCTAATGATGAGGATGCTGCTTCTGATGATGCTGACGATGATGATGATGCTGATGATGATGCTGATGCTGATGTTGTAAGACGATCGCGACGAAGACAATGATGGTGACAATGATGATACTGATGATGATGACGATGATACTGACGATGTTGATGACGATGATGATGATGATGATGCTGCCGATGATGCTGCTGATGATGGTGATGCTGATAATGATGATGCTGATGCTGGTGGTGATGACGACGATGACGCTGCTGATACCGATGACGATGATGACGGTGACGATGACGATGACGATGATGACGATGACGATGGCGATGACGGTGATGATTATGATGCTGATGATGATGATGATGATGATGATGATGATGATGATGATGATGATAACGATGATGATGAGGACGACGATGATTATGCTGCTGTTGATGGTGATGCTGATACTTATGATGATGATGGTGATGATGCTGATGATGATGACGACGATGAGTTGATGATGACGATGCCGATCACGATGACGATGACGACGACGATGACGACGACGACGATGACGATGGCGATGTTGATGATGATGCTGATCATGATGATGATGGTGATGATGATGGCGATACTGCTATTGATGCTGATGATGCTGATGATGATAATGCTGATTCTGATGCGGATGCTGATGCTGGTGCTGATGATGATGATGATGATGAGTATGATGATGATGATGATGATGATGATGATGATGATGGTGCTGATGGTGATGATGGTGATGATGATTATGCTACTGCTTCTGCTGCTGATGATGCCGCTGCTGATGATGATGATGATTCTGATTCTGATACTGATGTTGATGCTGCTGATGATGATGATGATGATGATGCTGATGCTGATGCTGCTTCTGCTGATGATGCCGCTGCTGCTGCTGCTGCTGCTGATGATGATGATGATGATGATGATGATGGTGACGATGATGATGATGATGATGATGACGATGATGATGATGATGATGATGATGATGGTGATGATGATGATGATGATGATGCTGATGATGATGATGCTGATGATGCTGATGATGATGACGACGACAACGATGATGATGGTGATGATGATGATGGTGATGATGGTGATGATGATGACGATGCTGATGATGATGATGATGATGATGATGATGATGATGATGATGCTGATACTGGTGATGGTGGTGATGATGGTGATGATGATGATGATGAGGATGAGGATGAGGATGAGGATGATGATGATGATGAGGATGAGGATGAGGATGAGGATGAGGATGAGGATGAGGATGAGGATGAGATGAGGATGATGCTGATGCTGATGCTGATGTGATGATGATGATGATGATGATGACGATGATGATGATGATGATGATGATGATGATGATGATGATGATGATGATGATGATGATGATGATGATGATGATGATGATGATGATGATGATGATGATGATGATGATGATGATGATGATGATGATGATGATGATGATGATGATGATGATGATGATGATGATGCTGATGATGATGATGATGATGAGATGATGATGATGATGATGATGATGATGATGATGATGATGATGATGATGATGATGATGATGATGATGATGATGATGATGATGATGATGATGATGATTTTTTTTTTTTTTTTTTTTTTTTTTTTTTTTTGATGAAGGGCATTTACATTTTACAGTAGTCGTAGAGTACGAGAGGGCCGCGCGGATCCCTGGCGGCCTGCATGCGTCAGGCGGCCCACGGCGTGGTGTTCCTGGTCTTCCACGTGGGCTCCGCGTGGCTCGGCCACAGGTGGGCCGCTCGCCAGGCGCCGCGGGCGCCGTTGGGGGGTTAACCCCCTCCCAGCGCCGCCTGTTGCGGCGCCCGCCTGGCTCCGCCTTCGCGGAGCTGCCCAGCGGGCCGCGCCGCCGACCCCCGCGCTGGCCTCCGAGCGGCGCGCGGAGTTGGAGGGGTGCTTTCCCGTGCAAGTGCGGGTGCTTCGCCCGAGCGCCCCGATTCTTGTCCCGCTTGCCGCGAGCTGGCCAGGAACGTAATCACGTGGGGCTTCGAGGTCTTGTTCGGCCTCGTCACACTCATCCACTGGGACTTCGTCCACCGCAGCTGTTCCGCGGCCGCTGGTGCGGTCAGAACCCCTGGCGCTAGAGGTGGTGACCGACACGTCTATCTTACCTGGCGGTGATCGTCGTTTGCCTGGTGGGCAAGGCCCTCAAGGCAGACTGACCACGACCAACAGGCTATGAGCATCGAAGATGAGCTGAATGTCGATGATCAGGGTGGTGATTTTTCTTCATAGTCGTGTGGTGGAGGTGGTGGTGGTGGTGGTGGGAGTGTCCGTGGCCGAGCTTTTCCATGCGGCAGTGGTCTCGCCAGGCCACGACCTGTTCGTCGAGTGTTCCTCAGCCGATAACCACAACGTCAGTCACTGAGATCGGCTCGGCCCCGGAAGAACGGTCATCCGCGAGGACGGGGACATTGCATTGCCCGTTGCTGGGGCAGGGCCCAGGGTCTGTGACTTCGCCCCGCCTCTCACCCCGGCCGAACTTTTCGTGTTCATATCGCAAGCGCTTCCGATACTGGCTGCCCATGACGCTACTCGTGCTGGAAGGGGGCCGCGGGCGCTCCCGCTGTCGGAGTGGTTGCAGGGGCCGCGGGTGCCGTGGTGCCCGCTGGTGCTGGTGGGCCGCAGCGCCGTTCCCCCCGCAGGTGCCCCAGGTGGGCCTGCCGCCGTTGTGCCGGGCGGCGGTGGTCCGGCGGAGGCTGGAGGCCTTGCGGGCGGTCTCTCGGGGCTGTTCGGCGGAGATGGAGCCGCAGCAGGCACAGGCAGAGGCGGCGTTGAAGCAGTGATGGCTGCAGCTGCAGCCAGCGCTGGACTTCTGGCGGCCCCATCGGTTCCAGCAGGTGTAGCCTTGATGGCCCCCGCCCCTGCCGGTGTGGCGTCATCGCTTGGCTCGGCCGCAGCTCTGGCGGGGGCAGCCGGCGCAGGCGGTGCCGTCCTCGCAGCTGTGCTGGCTGGCGGAGCGGGAGGAGGGGTGAAGCATGTTTTTTTTTCGCAGCGGGTGTGGCCTTGCTTCGAACAAGTGCGTGGCCAGATTGGGTGGTGCCAGGACCTCGGACCGCGCGTTGGGTGTCGACGTTCGTGTTCGAGAACGGTGGCAGCGCGCTCGGGCGCCGCGTGTGGTCTTGCTGTGCATCAAAAAGGGTAGCGCCAACTACCAAGACGAGGATTATTATTTCACAG